TTAAGACCTCGTTATAACATATAATACAAAGAATCAAGATGGAAACAATGATACATAATAAACTTAGTTATACAAACTCTTAAGTTAAAAGATTGAAAAGAAACACCAATCAATTAAATCAACAACATTATGAGGAAATTAAATTGAAACAAAGAAATCGGGAGGAAAATTGATAGATCTTTGAGGATCGACAGATTTCACCCCTTGCCCCAAAGTTTAGTCATTGAGTTAAAACCGAAATATTGCCAAAAAACGCAGAGAACCAAGATGCATAAACGGAAATTTTAAAATACATAACTACGAATATCCTAGTACCAGAACATACAAGGAACCACAGCAAATAAAATACTACGTTAAAAAAATTAGCCATGAATATCTTTTTGGCTTAAAAACTTAAAAATGGGTAACCAAATAAAGATTAAACTATGGATAATTTCAATTCAAAAAAAGAAAATCATTAGAAAAAATGATTGGCTAACGGGGATCTACAGATTTCTCCCCTGCCCCTAAATTCTAGTCAATAAATTAAACCATAAGTTATTTTAGACAAAACACGTAACCAAGAAAGATAAACAAATACCTTAAAGGACCACAATAATGAATGTCCTTTAGACGTAAACCTAAACAAAGAATTGGATTTTGAGACATTAATTGTCGCATAGGGAGAGACAACATTCCTTAAAGAACCACAGTAATGAATAACTTAAGCTTTAGTTTCAGGTGTCCTTTTATTCACCCATGTCACTTTCAATGTTGAGCATAAGAGATATCTCAACTTAATAATTGAGTTTTGGGATCAGAGGTGAAACTCGTAGATCCTTCATTAATTTGGCTTTTCTTACTAGTCTTTTTGTTGTTTGATTAGTAAAATTATCAATACTTTGTTGACATTACGAGTTATTGTTTCTTTTATTTTTGTAAATCAAAGGATTTTCATGGCTAAGTTTTTTAAGATATTATTTTATTTGCCTTGGTGCTTTACGTTAGTTCTTATTAATTATATTTCATTTTAATTACATTACTTCGTGGTCAGGGGTGAAACCCCTAGATCGTTATTTATTAGTCAATTTGCTTTTTGACATTTTTTTGTTTCAGTTGAAATTATTCATAATTTTGTCTAATATTTTTGTTGATATTCTTTGTTTAATTTTTAAGCCTTAGAATATTCATTACTGAGGTTTTTTAAGGAATCCTTTTCTCTTTCTTGGTTACATGCATTGTCTAGTATAATTTATTTTCAGTTCAATGACTAGCCTTTGGGGACATAGGTGAAATTTGTAGATCCTATTAACTGATCAATTTTTCTTACCGATTTTCTTTGTTTGATTTGAAATTACCCATTGTGTTTTTAGTCTTTTAGTTGGTATTCCTTTTTAATTGGTATTCATCTTTTAGTTGGTATTCCTCTTTTAGTTGAGAATAATACACATCTAAAATTTCAAGTGATTTAGATCTGTAGAAAAATAAATAAAATTCAAACACTATCGGACATTTGTGATCGTCAGATCGGCCCAGATTCATTCTAGGCCATTGGGCTCCTATGTTCATATGAGCAAGTGGGCTAATCCCATATTTTTCCTATATATATATATAGAGCAATAATATCATGCAACCGTTGTATAGTAATATAATGCAACAACGTTAAAAACCATCTTATGGCCATTTGTTTGATCCAAATTTTGAAATATACACTCTTTTCATTCTAATGAACAATCAAAAAAAAAAAAAATTGAAAACACAACTTAGAAAGTATTTTTTTAGCCCAATTAACATAGGCCGTTCATTTTGGTGAGATGATTAGATCTAAGCCTTAGAAAGATTTTTTCATTTTCAATTTTTTTGGATGGCTTTATTATCTTTAGATGAACAATGTTAAAAAAGAAAACAATGATTTTGAGTTTATAAAGGCTAAGATCTTGAAATTTACAAAATGAATGGTCTAGATTCGTTTTTGGAGATGACTCATTTTGACCATATCTAGGGTTCAAATTGAAGTTTGTTTTTTTGGGGGATTGATTATTGATTGGTTTCTAGAAGTGTCGTCGCATTATACTATGATACAACCATTGCATTGGATCATTGCGCATATATATATATATATATATATATATATATAAAGTTACCTCAAGGATTTCACTTTGTGACTTTGCGTTGCATATTATGGCTCTGTTAAGCCCCATTCTCCCTCATATTCTGTTAATTCAACTAATAACAGTTATCTTGTGTTTTATTATTATGGGAAATTATACTATAATATGGTTCAAGTCCACTAAGGGCATCAACGTCCAATCAAATGACGGAAAGTGGTGGAAGGTGCGGGGCCCACCATTAAGGTCATGTTTTGTTTTGAGAGGCCCCACTCTCTCTCCATAATCATCCATAATTTTATTGGTGACAATCCCAGTTATTTTTCATTATTCAAGTTGATTCGAGTATACTTAAATATTATATTAGAGTTTGTATTGGTACTAAGTTTCCACTATTGACTTTTCAGGTTCTTACGAAGGAGGAATAAGATGCTCTTGCAGCAACTCCTGCTTATCTCGTTGGCTTGTATGGTGAGTCAATCGATCAATGAACATCTTCCCAACATGTAGTAGAGTTTTATTGCTTCTTCCTCTGTCACTGAATTGTTACCTGATAGGGAGATGGGATTTGGACTGAAAATTTACTGAAGAGAACTATCAAACTTTAAAATTTTACGTTGGACGCTTTAGTACCATATTTGACTTTGAGCTAATATTGTTTGGAAAATGATGACACTTTACCCTCATCTCTACTTAAATGTTAAACAAAGAGTTTTTTTCCTCTGTTGTGGTATTTTGCCAATAGTTTCTGATTTCCTCACCTGAATTAATCTTGATATCAGCTTTGTATGCCAGTTTTCTAGCGCGCAATTTGGTGGAACAGATATGGAACTTTGCTTGGCCCTCTATTGTTGCACTCTTACATCCAAGCCTTTAGCTTGTGGCGGTTGTAAGTTTCTTCACAAAGGTACGTAACAAGTCTATTGTCTTTATATTGGTCTTTATGAGACGAGTTTGAATCCTTGTATTTTGAAAGGCTCATTCCTGGGGCTTTTCTGGCTTTCTGGTAAAAACCTTGTATATGTCTTGGTGAATGGCCAAAAGTCTAAGTTTCCATCAAATTTATTCCAATATTTGGATTCAATATTGGATGTACTTTACCAATTCTGGTGACATATAGGAAACTAATTCCAGTTTTCAGATGTTTTTGGCTCTATCTTTTAGACCATAGTCCTGGGACGAAAACCCAATTAAATTAAGTGAAATTTAGTCTTTGAATCATTAGATTAGCTTGTATCGTGGCATCTTGAGGGGAGTTTATTTGTTTAATATATTGTATATGTCATAGGTTGAATGAATGGAAATAACTGATAGAAAAAAAATGAAATGCAGCTTGCAATATTTGTTGGAGGCCCCTTGTTTGGCAATTTCATGCATTCCTTTCCTAGATTACTTGTATTCAATTATTTGAGTTTATTGCAGGTAAGGCTCACAACCTTACGGTATTTCAAACAAGCTGTTTTTCCATGCCCTTTCATTTGGCACACAACCCGTTTATTAAGGTGTCTAGAGAAAGAAGGATAAACTAGTTGAAATGGTTTTATCCAATGGTTTAAAAAACGGATCGGTGACCCGGATCGGGCTTCCAAAAAACCGATCCAGATCGGCGAATCGGCGATCCGGATCGAGAATCGGGTGAATCGGTCAGAATAAAGTTTAAAAAAAATTCGAAAAAATTATTAAAATTCATTATAAATATTGTTTTTTAGGAATTCAATAAAAAATGAGGGTACTCCATTAAGAATTTTCATGTTTTTGAATGAATATGTGAATATTGATATGTTCTTTCCCTGCATGAACTGCCATTCAGCATTTA